GGCTGGGACGGTGGCCAAAGAGGTGCCGGTGACAGCCGCGGCGTCCGACGGTCCGGCGTGAACAGTGATCCGTACGGACGGGTGAACAGTACCCGTACGGACACTGTACGGACTACGCTGGACGGCGACGTACGGCGAGGCTGGACGGCTGGGTGTCGACGGAACGACGATCGGAGCTCCGGCGAAGCTCCGGCGGTACTGTTTGCAGACCGGGAAAGAGAAAAACAGAGAAACAAGGCTGTTTTGGACAAAAACTGGGGCTGTGGTGGCTGCACAGAGGTGGAAATGGTTGCTGGTGATGTTGGCTTGGTGGGGGCAGCACCGGCTGGTACTGTTCCGGCGTGAACAGTACCGAAAATGGCAGAAACGGGACTGCAGAACCAGAAACGTGAAGAAGAAGAGGAAAATTCTGGGGAAAATATGGCTGAATGGGTCTGCACGAGAGAGAGAGAGAAGACTATCTGGTCAAATGGGTCAAAGATAGCTTAGTGGAGTCCAAGTGTCACAATCTAGGCCCATTGGACAATTTTGCCCCTAATCCAAGGGCCCAAATTTGATCCAATCCAATAATTTAGGGGTAGAATGGTCATTTGCTCTTAACCATGGTTGACCAGACCTGAGTTAAGCCTAACTCACCTTGGTTAATCCCAAAATTAAATCCAATTTTCGGAATTAATCAAAAATGGCCTAGGGGCATTTTCGTAATTTTCCGATCCCGAACCGAAATTCCAATTTTTGCACATACGCGTTCCATATATGCGTGGCCAACATAATATGGCGTCGGAATCGCGAAATTCATCGCGCAAGCCCTCGAAAATCCACGTCAAAGTCTCGGGAATAAAATAATATTATTTTTCCAATTTTTGTCGAAATTCCAATTTTTGGCCAAAACCACTCTAAATGTGCGTGGCCACCCCAAAATGACCTTGGCCGCGAAAAATAACCTCAAACGGCCTTCGAATCCAGCCTCGGTGCCCACAGGGGCAAAACCGTAATTTTTCCGGCCCCGGACCGAAATCCATTTTTTTGCAGAAATGGGTGGCCCCAAGGTTGGCCAAGCCAAAAACGTCATCGGCCATCCAAAATTGTCACTTTCAAAATTCTCGATTCCCGGGCCCGAATTCCAAGAAATGACTAAAATCGAGCAATAGCAACTTTAGCTTATCTCTGGCTAACGGGTGGCTCATTGGGATTACGCGCTCTCGACCCATGACCGACACTAAGTCAAATCACGTTTAAGTTTGCTCGAACCAAGACGACCTCGATTGTCATATAATTGCGAGGGTCTGTCGCTAGTGCCCTTTGGACACGATCAATCAAGTAGATCGGTCTCGGTTGGCTCAAAACATTCCCTCGTCAATCCATATGGTCGAAGATCGAACCCAGGTCGAGTTCTTTGGTCGTGCGAACTCAATCCCGTAATAGCCTTACCCCTAAGGTTAGCATCCCGTGAATGCGCATTTCCGGGTGAGATTTCACTACAAGTGCATTGGCCAAAATATTCATTTCATAGATCCCGGGAAAAGGATCGAAAATTCAGACTGTTACACATCTAAAGTGAGAGTTTACAATCCATAGGAAAAGAAATTAGACCCAAGGGCTATAAGTTTTCGTTAATCTACCAAAAAGTCCAAGAGATACAGATTTTATTGTTTATCTCACACCACTAGGATTGTGGAATCGAGGCATGCTAATTTTCTTGAAAATTACTTGATTAGTGGGAGTGATCAATTCAAGGACCTTTTTCCTAAGAAAAATCATTCAAATACTCAATCTTCCACCTCAAGTATTAGATTAATTCTTGTTCATAACAGCCCTCCTGTTCATCCGGCTATTAAACAACCAATCATTGAAAGTTATACAACCTGCTAATATTGATTCGGTAGATCTAGTTTTCAACAATTACCAAAAATTGTTAAACAACTAGTTGAACAACACGCTCCTCTAGTGAATGCTGATGTAACATCAAGAAGATCTGCTAGAATGAAGAAATTGGCAATTCATAGTTATTACATTGTGTATCTACATAAAACTGACTATAATGTTGGAGCTGAGTACGATCCTGAAACGTTGTTACAAGCCATGGGTTGTGATGAATCCAATTTGTGGTACAACACCATGAAGGAAGATATGAGTTCTATTGCATTTAACGAAATATCAAATTTTGTTGAATTGCCTAATGGTGCAAAGGCCATTGGTTGTAAATGGGTCTTGAAAATTTAGAAGGATTCATTGGACAACATTGACAGATATAAAGGTAGACTTGTTGCTAAAGGATTCACTTAAAACAAAGGAATCGATTACCCGAAGAACTTTTCTCCTATATTTGAGAAAGATTTTCTTTATATCGTTTTGGCATTGGTTGCCCATTTTAACATGAATTACATCAAATGGATGTGAAAACGGCGTTCATCAATGAAGAATCGGAGGAGGAAGTTTACATCAAACAACCACAAGGATTCTCCTCTAGTAATGGTGACCATTTGGTGTGCAAGCTTAAGACATCTATATATGGCTTGAAACAAGCATCCCGCCAATGGTACTTATAGCCCTGTGGTGTCATCTCTTCATTCAGTTTTGTAGAGAATGTCATAAATCAATGTATATACCAAAAGGTTAGTTGGAGCAAAATTTATTTTCTTGTCCTATATATGGATAATAATTTACTTACAACCAATGATAAGGGGTTACTACATGAAGCGAAACAATTTCTTTCTAGGGTTAAAACCACGAAAAACCCCAAATTAGTACACATGTGATAAATTTATCCCAAACTAATTTTTTGACCACTAAAAACCTCAAACTGGTACATTTATGACAAATTTACTCTTCGTTAGTTTCCATTAAATTGGATTAATACCACAAAAAATTACAAATTGATACACCTGTGACAGACGGAGGGTAAAACATAAAACTGCAATCAACTGCCGCGTGTCATTTAACAAAGCAATTTCACAGTAAAATTTAACAAAAACAAACCGAGGGTAAATTTGTCACAAGTGTATCAGTTTGGGGTTTTTTGTGGTAAAAAAATTAGTTTTGGGTAAAATTTTCACTAGTGTACCAGTTTGGGGTTTTTCATGGTATTAACCCTTCTTTCTAAGAGTTTTGGCATGAAACATATAGATGAGGCATCTTATGTCATTGGCATTAAAATCCACAAAAATAGACCTCGAGGCATTTTAGGACTGTCTCAAGAAACCTATAGAGAAATTTCAGATGAAAGATTGTTCACCAAGTATAGAAGCTATTGTGAAAGGTGACAGGTTCAATTTGAACCAATGCCTAAAGAACGATATTGAAAAGGAACAAATGAAAAACATCACATATGTTTCTGTAGTCGAAAGCTTGATGTATGCTCAGATTTACACTCGACATGACATTTCTTTTGCTGTATGAGTGTTAGGAAGATATCAGAGTAATCCAGGTTTGAACCACTGGAAAGCTATAAAGAAGTTGATGAGGTAACTTCAAGGTTCAAAAAGTTACATGCTTATGTACAAACGAACTGACAACCTGGAGATAGTTGGTTATTTGAATTCAGACTTTGTTGGTTACGTTGATTCTTGAAAATCAACATCTTGATACATTTTTATGTTTGCTGGCGAAGCCGTGTCTTGGAGGAGTGTGAAGTAGACTTTGATTGCTACTTCCACAATAGTGGCTAAGTACATTTCCAGTTTTGAGGCTACCTCACATGGTGTGTGGTTGAAGAGTTTCGTATTAGGGCTTAGAGTTGTGGATTCCATTGCTAGGCCATTAAGGATGTTTTTTGATAATTCAGCTACGGTTTCCATGGCCAAAAACAACAAAGGTGGTAGTCAAGGTAAGCACACATTAACATTAAGTATTTAGTCATAAGGGAACATGTTAAAAAGAATAAAGTGGTCATAGAACACATTAGCACTGAATTGATGGTAGCCGATCCTTTAACTAAAGGCATGCCTCATATCATGTAAATTTTCTTTGTATGAACGAATTGTAAAACTCTTATTCATTTTTGATGTTTTTGTCAATCCTGGTGTCCAAATTAGTTTATTTTGAGAATAATAATCATTTTTTGACTTGGAATAAACAGAATGTTTATTCATTAAGTTATGTTATCACATATGGACTGATTTTAAAAAGAAGAGGTGCATTGTGATACATGGAAGATAATTCTCATTCTAAGCAGACTTATCACCATGATTCATGCTTTTTTCTTCAACGTGAAGTTTTAATGGATTTGGTTCAACATTTGTTTGATGAAATGTTGGGGTTAAGGGGGAGAATGTTATCACACTGATCAATAATGTATTCCCACATTCAGTTTATTATTGCCTACATTGATTAATTTTGTTGGCATTTTATTGTCCGCGTTAAGCTACATATGGTGATCCCCAATATTAAGACAACTATCTTGATGAAAAAAGTTATCGATAAGGGTTTGAATGGGAATATAAATAAGTCTAAGTCAAACCTCTATTATTTGATATGAGATATAAAAAGCACACCATTAATGTTGACAGGGCAATTGGCTAAAAGTACCCATTCACCGATCGTTCAAGTCTCTGCGTATATGGTTTTCGACTTCATCAATGGTTGGAGATTAGTACATATTTTTTCACATTTCCGCACTCGATTCTAATTATATATAGTTTTTGTTCATCCATCAACAATCGGAATCTTTAGTCTTCCGCTAAATCTTTTTTAACACTTGCAAGCAGTACTTTTGCATATTACAGCTGGACGTTCCTTAATTAATATTTTTTTGGTCGCATGACGTTCCTTAATGACTTCAAGATTTCTTCAGCAAATATTAACCGACTTCCCTCTCTCCTGCTTGTTGAATTTCCTCGTTGCCGGCTTGGACAAGTTGCTGCTGCCGACTCTTCCCTTCTTCGTTAAGTATACTTCCTTCCCAAGCATGTGTAGACTAGCTTGTTCTAGAATTTCCAAATACAGATCACCTTCTAACAAAAAGAAACGGAAAAAGAGAATGAACAAAGGCGTGGTGGGAGAGAGAGGGGGAAGACGTGGGGCGGTTTTCTCAATACTTAGCATCCGAGATCTCTCTCTTTCGTTCTGGTTTAACCTTTATCTCGTCGTGCATCGCTCACCTATCTTTCATCTCTCTCTTCATATAGTCGTGTGGCTCTGGTCGTAAAAGCATTCCGTCCTTGAAGACAGACAGTCATGGACAGAGGGGGAAACCAATGGAGCGAACGCGATAGGCATCGCAAGAGGGATGAGAGATACCGCATTAGGGGTCATCACCACCGCAGACGAGGCCACTGGCATGCAAGGGGTGATCATGGAGAGGAGAGAAACACTTCCCGAGAATCTCTCGGTAGAGATGGGAGTCGATCACATACCGAGACCGACGCTCGTCATCCTGGATATGATGCATCACTGTATCCAGACCCTGAGCCTATAGCTGGTACGTATAAGCTTGTCTCCTCGACGTTGCTCTACAGAGGGATACCTGATTGGATATTGATCGACTTGCTTTGGAATAAGAAAGTGGTCCAAATGGCCTGAAACTCAGTTCTTTTGATTGCATTTTTCGAGTGACATTAGAAACGCTTTCTTTTTGTATTTTTCTTTCAATTTGTTTTTACCAGGAGGATCTTTGCATGTGAATCATGTCAATTTTCCATTCAATTCACAAATTCAATTCTAATGTTTCCACACACTCTATATTGATCCACTGTTTTCTCCTGAACAAGTGCATGACTGTTGCATTTAATTTTTAGTCGTGTTCTGTTGGTTAAATGGACAGACGTCTTGCAATAAAAAAAGAAGTCATGGGATACTAATCCGCACAATACCGCTGATATTTCATTTTCACGTTTCAATGTATAAACAACTAATAAGTGAGCCACACAGGGAACTTCTTGACTGAAGCGAATGTTTACTGATGTGGTTTATATTCTCTTGACAGAACTCCAGGCTGTTGCTGTCCGGCCAGAGTTTAACCTTGCGCCGGAGTTTAATCAGGTTTCCCTAGGAAATGGGGATAAGATTTGCCCCATCAGACGCCCCGACAAAGGTGGCTCGTTGCTTGCTCGGCATGTCAAGCTTCTTGTCAACCACTTTCGCATCACCTTCAATCCTGAAACCATCATAAGGCACTACAATAACGAAATCAAGCCCGAGGCACCTGCAATGCACCGCCGTTCCGTAAGGCTATCAAAAACCACCGTTGGTCAGATCAAGGAGAAGTTATTCTCTGACAACCGCACACAGTTTCCTTTATCCATGACCGCTTACGATGGCGAGAAAAACATCTTTAGTGTGATTCCACTGCCTTGTGGGACGTACAACGTGAAGATATTTTCTGGCGAAGACGGCGAGGACTCCTCATTCCAATGCACCATTGAGCTAGTGAACGAGTTCAATCTCCTTAAATTGAAAGACTACTTAGAAGGAAACTTGCTATCAATCCCCCGGGACATATTGCAGGGCATGGATCTGGTGATGAAGGAGAACCCAACGAGGCACGTGATCTCGGTCGGACGGCACTTCTATCCCCTCGAGCATCAGGAGACGAACGATCTGAAGTGCGGCGTCGCGGCATTCAGAGGGTTCCAACACAGCTTGAAGCCAACCTCCCAGGGTCTTGTGCTGTCTCTCGATTGCTCGGCCATGGCCTTTCGAAAGAGGATGCCGGTCATCGATTTCCTCAAGGAGAACATACGTGGATTCAGCATGGATCAATTTGCGAAGTACAGGAGGAAAGTCGAGCAGGCGCTAAAGGGGGTGAAGGTCACAGTGACCCACCGCAAGACCAAACAAAAGTATACGATCGTGAGACTGACTGACGAGACGACGAGTTCGATATCTTTCAACTACGAGAACTCTGAGGGCAAGATGAATAAGATCAATCTAGTGAACTATTTCTTGGAGAAGTACAAAATCGAGATCAAGTACAGGGACATTCCTTGCTTAGATATCAGCAAGAACAACAAGAAGCAGTACGTGCCTATGGAGTTGTGCGTGTTGGTCGAGGGGCAACGGTACCCGAAAGAGAACTTGGAGAGTGATGCCTCCACCTTGTTGAAGAATCTCTCCTTGCCTCCCCCACATATCAGAAAGAAGTCCATATGCCACATGATGAGGTCAAACACCGGACCTTGCGGGTATGCAACACTTTGTTCTTTGCTCTAATTGTGCATCACTATCATTGCTTTTGTCAGAACTCAACCTGCATATCAAAAAATTAATGTGATTATTGCTCCATCATCCTTTTCTAGCGTAGTCAATTTATAATTTGTTTTATATATGCTCTTGTTTTTTTTTTTATAATACTGGTGCTGTTGTTTAGGTGATATTCCATTACGAATATACTATGTTAAAGGATATTGTGACATTCTGAAATCCGACCCACTTGGGATTTATGAAATGAGTAGTTTATGGACGTGCTTGTAGTTAGATCTCGCCCGGAATTGATCACTTCGGGAATACTAACCGTTAGGGAAAGGCTAATTAGAGATTTAAATTCGCGCGACCAAAGAACTCGATCGTGAACCGACCTTCGACCATGAAAATTGTTGAGGTGACATTTTGAGCCACTATAGGCCGATCCAAGGATAGCCAGGGATCAGTTCGCCATTGTCATATTAGTGGATCGCGGGTGATTCCGCTTGACCACGAAATGAATCGACGAATTGCCCCGAACCTATACCAAACGATCGTGCCCGTCGAATCTAGCGATCGATCCTCGCGATTAAGTGACAACCGAGGTCGTCACGACCCGAGTAAACTTGTACGTGGCATGATTCAGTATCGGCCACGGGTCAATAATGCGAATTTCCCCAAAAGCCGCCCGTTAGTATGAGATATACACAAGTTACGTTGTTCAGAACTTAGTCATTAAATTAGAGCCTGAGTTGGGCATTGGAAATTCAGAAAGTCACGACAGATCACTTGGACGATATTGTCATTTGCCCGGGTAGCCTCGGATTCGTCCGAATCCTTCAGAAAAATTGAATTTCGGTGAGAAATGGCAAATGACCATTTTACCCCTGGAGATTTGTTAAGGCCAATGTAATTTGGGAAGGGCATTTTGGTAATTTTGCCTAGCCTTAGAATTAGAGAATTTTGGACAATTTTGCCCTTGGACTTTTTGAGAAATTCCCAAATTGCCCTTGGATATTTTGGAAACGACTCGATCCGGGCCGTCGATCTCAGGATAAGGATGAATCTCGGCCGTTGATTGGATTTGTGAGAGAAGGGCAAGATGATCATTTTGGCCCCTCAATTATTGCCTTGGACTATTTAAGTCCAACTCCCTCTCTCTCTCTCCTCATTCTCTCTCTCTCTCCTCTCTCGGCTCCCTCCTCTCCCTCACCGAACCGACCGCCCCCCTTGGCCGCGCCACCGCCGCTCGCCGGCCGCCGTTCGCCGTGCCACCGCCGTCCCCGTCACCGAGCCGCACCACCACCCTCACGCCGTCCCTCTCTTTCTCTCTCTCCCTCTCTCGTGGCCGTGAGTGACCGCGGCAAGGAAGCCGCCGTCCAGCCGACCACCGCCGTCGCCGAACGCCGCTCGCCGCCGCCGTGAGCCGCCGATCAGCCGTTCCCCCTTTTTCCACTCTAGCCGAATTAGTCTAGAGTTCGGGTAAGTCACGCCCTAAACTCTATTTAGGACTTCGGGTATCGACGGACAAATTTGAGTTGAATCGGATTAATTAGTGTTGGTTTAGAGGTTAATTGGGGCCGTTTAGGGGTTTTGTCGGTATTCTGAATTGGGGAATCGATATGGGCTGATTTGAGGATGAAATGACGATGTTTAGGGGCTGAATTGATGCTGGATCGGTTGCTGGAAATTGAGACTCGCTTTGGCGAGCATATGATCCAATTTGGAGATAAATGGTGTCGGTTTAGCGTGTTGTGATGTGACGGGTTGGTAGGGCTTGATATGGCTTGAAATGAAGATGGGAATGTTGAATTTATGCCTATGAACGTGGCTGTGTTTGTGGGCCCGTGAGTGGCCTTGTGTGTTTGTTGTACCGTGATTTGATGGATTGAAATATGCTTTGTTACGTGCACGCTCGGGCCGAATTGAATTGATTGTCAATTGGCCGTGTTTGAGCGTCGATTGAGCATGAGAAATGCATGGTTTGATGCGTGCACGGGCCAAGTGTGAATGGCCAATATGTTGGCATGTGGGTGTTGAGCATGTGAACGAGTGAGAAAGTGCGTGTGGTGTGATATGTGTGGTTGCGGAAATCCCTGAGGCGGTATCATTACGCGGGGAATTGATCCGTCCTGAGGCGGTACGACTACGTGGGACGATGCCCGGTATTACCGGAGGACGGCCAACCTGAGGCGGTACCATTACGCGGGTTGTGTTGTAGGTGGTGGGTGTTAAGCCTGAGGCGGTACCACTACGCGGGCAGGATACACGGCCTGAGGCGGTACCATTACGCGGGCCAAGAAGTGTTGTGAATATAGCCAACCTGAGGCGGTACCATTACGCGGGTTGTGCACTAGGTGACGGATGTTGAGCCTGAGGTGGTATCACTACGTGGGCAAGAGACATAGCCTGAGGCGATACCATTACGCGGGCTGAGAAGTGTTGTGAATATGAGATGGTTACGCGGGTCACTGGCGAGTTGTGTGGAAAGAATGTGATGAGGCCGGAACGAATGCATGAACGTAATTAGCACGTGCATGTGATTGGAAATGATGTTGTTGTGACTAACGTGCAGGTTGCACGCTGGAAAGGCCAGGTAAGCATAATCGTGTGCTTGCTATGTCGTGACTGAGTGTGGTTGTGGTTGTGATTGTCTGGAGGTACGTGATAGCCTAGGTGGGGTTTAGGGGTGTACTTACTGAGATGTATTCTCATGGTTGTTTCAACCAACAATTTCAGAACCCCGGCTTGAGCAATGAATCTCCCGCCGCCGCCGCCTGAGCGTTTTGGAGTACCGATGCACACCGACCACGATGTTATAGAGTACCCTATAGATGATTTTATGACATGGGTTAAGCATACGACAGTAGTCTGGGTAGATGTAAGGTTACCCCTCTGGCAGGCCCACACATATACCGCCTGATTTTTCAGGGACGGGATAAACGAGTTTGGACCCGTCCGGGGTTTCGATGTCCCTTTTGACGGAGTTGGAGATTGGGACCCGTCAGCCATACCCCCTCCCGACGGCGAGATGACTAGTTTGGAGACTAGTCTGGCGCAGTCTGGACTGCAGCAAGCGCCTGCAGCACCAGAGCCTTCGGGGGCCGAGCATGAACCAGAGCCTGAAGAATCGCAGGCGGGGTACGATCCGATGGACGTGGATCTCGAGGCGATCCCAGAGGAAGAACCCGAGGCAGAACCTGAGGATGAGCCTGAAGAAGAACCGGAGCACGTACCTCCGTATGAGCAATGGATTGACCCCGAATTTGTGCCAGAGGACGAGTCTGATGAGGAGCCAGTCGAGGAGGAGCGGGACGAGGTCCAGCGGAGTCGGGTGATATAAACAACCCGATTGAGATTGAGGCGGATTCAGAGTCTTCCGGGGAGCCAGATTTTGATAGGGTTTCAGACCTAGATTCCGGGGAGACGGACTCGGAATGGACGCCAAGCAGAGGGCGTAGGGGCTAGCGTAGGGGTTGGGAATAGGATTTTTGGAGTGTATCATTTTTTGTGATAGGGTACCCAGGCTATCGATCTTTTTGATGTCGGTGGTTAATAGTGTAGAAGTTCGGTGTGCTTGTGTATACGGTGGTTTGTAAATTGTATATATTATATAAGTTTGGATGAGCAATGAATATGTTTATTCTCCCTGTTTACCCCAGTTATTATTGTCCGGGTATTGATTGTGGCTTTCGCTGATTGACGAATCTCTAATAAGTTTAATTGGGTCAGCGATACCCTGGGACATCGCCCTATTCGACCAGAGAAGTGTGTGCGTGCTCGATGGAGTTCGGGGCGTGACAAATATGTTCAAATAGACAAAATACTTGAAATATATATTTTCTTGGTGAAATGGTTGCACAAAAAGGGTAGACTATAGGACAAAAATGGCATTCCACCGACGAAGAAAGTGTAAGTTTATATCACAGAAAGCACCGGACTAACATAACTATGTTTTTCTATGTCTTTGATATTATTTTCTTTATTTCAAATGTTTCTTTCATTGCTACAGAGACGTCAGCCGAAACTTTGGAATGGACGTCGACATGAACATGACGAAAGTGGTGGGACGTGTCCTCGAACCTCCCGAGTTGAAGCTGGCGGCTCCGAATGGCAAGGCGATCAAGATAGAGGTTGATAAAGATAAATGCCATTGGAATTTAATGGGGAAATGTGTCGTGGATGGGAAGCCAATCGAAAGATGGGGCATTGTTGATTTCAGCGCGTCGGATCAGAATCGGCTCAACTATGAGCCGTTCATCCAAAAGCTTATTGGCAAATGCCGAAGCTTGGGGATTCGGATGGAAGAACCACTCTTTTATCAAGTTGCGGCAATGAGCATGTTATCCAATGTGGTTAGATTGATTGAGCTGTTAGAGAATGTCAACGACCGTGCTTGTAGAGTCAAGAGAGGGCGTCCTCAATTCATTCTTTGCGTCATGTCTAGAAGGGACATTGGCTACAAGAACATCAAATGGATCTGTGAGACTCGAGTCGGGTTAGTCACTCAATGTTGCCTTTCCATGAGGGCCAATAAAGCCAACGATCAGTATCTAACATATCTGGCCCTCAAGATCAATGCCAAGCTTGGGGGCAGCAACGTGGAGCTATTCAATCCATTCCTGCACATCAACGATGAGGGGCATGTGATGTTCCTTGGTGCTGATGTCAACCATCCAGCATCCCGCGACATGATCAGTCCGTCATTTGCTGCAGTCGTCGGCACCATCAACTGGCCCGCTGCCAATCGCTATGCCGCAAGGGTGCGACCTCAGATCCACCGGCAAGAAAAAATTGTCAACATCGGGGAGATGTGTCTGGAGCTCATCGAGACATACGCCAGTCTGAACCGAGTTAGGCCCAGGAAACTCATATTGTTTCGCGATGGGGTGAGCGAAAGCCAATTCGATATGGTTCTGAATGAAGAATTGCAGGATCTAAAGAAGGCTTTCGCCGAGAAAGATTACAAGCCAACCATCACGATCATCGTGGCGCAGAAGCGCCACCAAACTCGTCTTTTCCTGAACGATGTCGATGGGGCTCCCATAGGGAACGTACCGCCAGGGACAATCATGGACACAACAGTTGTCCATCCTTTTGAATTCGACTTCTATCTGTGCAGCCACTATGGAGGCATCGGGACAAGCAAGCCAACCCATTACCATGTCCTCTGGGACGAGCACAGGTTTAGCTCTGACCACTTGCAGAAGTTGATTTACAACTTATGTTTTACCTTTGCTCGATGCACCAAACCGGTATCTCTGGTCCCGCCTGTGCACTATGCTGATCTTGCCGCCTATAGAGGAAGGTTGTATCACGAAGCAGCGATGGAGCATTCTCCCAATTCGATGGCCTCTTCATTCTCCTCAAAGGCGTCCACATCGTTCTCATCGGTTGGTTCAAATGAAGAGCGATTCTACAAGCTGCACGCTGATGTGGAGAACATGATGTTCTTCATTTGAAGGCCTTACGCTCCTGTGTTTAGAAGAAGTCGGAGTTCTCCATCCAAAAAACGTAGAGAAGAGACTTTCTGGATATTGCCATCGCCCCTGCTCCAGAAAAGAAGCCTTCTTTTTACGGGTGAAAGGCTAATGGAGCCATATTAGCAAGATTTCTTTCAACGGGTGAACTTCTCTTATGCTGGAGAAGCAATGACAAATAACCAGGCACCTCTTCTACGCATTTATTTAGGTGGAGCAGATGCAACGGTCTTCAGTATTCTTAGTGCTTTAGTAGGATCCTGACATGATTAATGCTCATCATGTGCATTGGAGGAAACAGTGGATCTAGTTATTGTATTTATGAATTTGTTTTTGGTAACAATTCTGCGTTCTTAGATTAGTTGTCTCCAACTTATTTTGTGGTGATTAATGGTTACAATACAAGTCGTTTTCGTACTCTTGATATTACTTTGTTACCAATTCAGTTTACTCTTTCTAGGATCTGTCTCTCCGATGAATCGAACCTGGAAAGTAACTATGTTTATCTAGAGAATACTCATGCATTTCTAAAAAAAATGCTATAATGCTGGGTCGTTCGGTAATATTAATGTGGATGCTTTTCTATACTCTAGCATTTTCTGACCTGTTCATTTAATTCCCCATTCTGTTAAATTCTACAATCGAATAGACTATTTTCTTACTAGTTAAAGATTGGTGTCTTGCTTAGATTTGGAAGTTTACTTATTCAAATTTAATTTAGGTGATGTGATAATCAAACAACTTAAAATGCGTAAAACTTTGGTGTAAAGATTAATTTTAAATTAATCAACAAACTATTTTTTTTAATATTAATATAAACCGTCAATTACCGTTTCATCTTAAGATTTTTGTATTTTTTTGAATGTTCACTTTTTAAATAATTATAGGATAAATAACTAAATGTATTGATCTTCACATTCCACTACACTATACAATGGAATGATACTATTTAATAACGGATCTCTTCACGGGAAACAACAGCAATATTTTTTAAACTTTGGTTCAATGTGTAATGTCATTCTTAAACTTTTAATTCATTTAATGTGGTCCTTAACCTATTTCTAAATGTTCAGTGCAGTCCCTAACATTTCAACTTGTTCAATGTAATAAAGTGAACATTCAAAAAAATACAAAAATCTTAAAATTTCATAGGCCAGTCATAAATGGGTTCTAAATGGAAGGGGCAAAACAAATGGGTCTTATTTTCATTTACGGTAAACATGATTAAGGTCTAGCCATCCTAAATGCAATGCATGATTTTTGCAAACCCTAGTGCTAATATGATTTATAAATTCCTATTTGCAAATCTAAAACAAAATGCAGTCTCTGTACCACGAAAACACGATGGGCTTTACTTCTTAAAAATCAAATATGATGCAAAGTGTAGTGCATAATCGTGTGAGCCCAATACAATTTTTCCTACTTTCGTTTTTATCCTGCTTACTTTTGGATGAGCTGATGTTGCTCTGCTCTCTCCTCCTCTTTGTTGTCGGCACATTCTTAATAGATCGGCCTCTGCGAAGTTGATGGGCATCGCTGATAAGCAAGTGGAGTTCCCAGCTGATCTAAGCGTGATCTTCAAGCCCACGTATCAAATCTAAATGGTCTGTTTCTATCTCCAAGTCTTCTCTTGCACGTGCGTGGAAATACTTTAGGCTGCGTTTGATAGTCTGGATTTCTAATTAAGAAATGATATGAAATCCAAGGGATTTGTTATATCCTATCTATTATTTGGTGAATCGCAGTAATAAAACCAGATATATTCACATATTATCATGTCCATTCTTTACAATGAACGTCATATCAGTGTAAATAAACCTAAAAAAAAGTAAATAAACTTGAACAGAGATGATAAAAATTTCTCACGACACTCTTACCTACTTAATTTTTATTTTCTTATTTTTTAATTAGTTTTCCTCTATTTTTTAATTATTTTATTTTTTGTTTCTTTTTTCCCCTTCCATCATTCTCTAATAATTTTTTATTAAATAGTAAACTATACAAATATACCTAAAATATGTAATTAATATAAGTACTAAATGTATTATATATATATGAAATCTAATCATGAGATAGAAAGAAATTTGAATATATAAATAAAAATAAAAACGAATTTATTGTTAATTTTTTGTTATTTTGAATTTTTTATATTAAAGTTCAACTATTAGTTATATTCAAGTATTATTTTAATCTTATTAATTTAACTTGTTCCTTATTCGAGAAAAATAATTTTTATATTATGAATATTAGAAATCCTATCCACCCTTATCCCACCTCCCTCGTGAGATAATTTTATCCTTGTTATATCCCTTATATATCAGACTTTATCATGTCTTGGGTAGGCACCAAACACGGGATAGGATAAAATATATCCTATCTCAAATTTTATCTCAACTACCAAAAGTAGCCTTAGGGTTTTGACTAAGGTTGTCGCCTCAACCATTGCCGTCGATGAAGCTCTAATTGACTGCGCAAAACGTCGACAAGGCACCCATGGTTGTCTCTACAAACAGCTGCAGTGGCTCCTTCACTCGTTCCTTCCAGGTAAGCGCCGTCTATGTTGATATTTAGTTTTCCTCTCTCCGGTGATCGCCACAATTGAGGAGGATTTGCCGATAGAGTTTCGTTTTTTCTCTTTCCTGGGAGCCATCTTTTGCTTTTTTGAAACAAAGAGTGAGCATTCTCCACTGTGCGCTCAGGATTCGGTTTCAAGGGCCAAAACTGAACATGGCCCTTGTTAGTAGAGAAGCAAATAGGGTGGCTGATTAGGTTGTTAAAGCCGGAAGGAGAAAAAGTTAACTGAGTGACTGGGTTCCTTATCCCCCCCTCGGGTCTTTGGGATTGACTGTGTTCCAAAACCATGGAGTGTATTCTCGAACCTCTTCTGAATAAATAAGAGTGCTTTCCATGACACCAAAAAAATAAAATAGATCGGCCTTTTTCTTTGCGCCTTATCCATTTTCCTGTCGTCGGTTGTCATTAATGGATACTACGAATTTTTTAGGTCCATCAAAAAATCACGCGTTCTACACAACAGTGTACAGATAGAGAACTCAAATCTTGATTTTTGTTCTCTAACCAACACCACCTAAAATTTGTTCACTCCAATTGCTGCTACTTAATCGGACGTCTGATTTGGAACTTACGTCAAGCTTTCTTGCCTTTTGATGCCTTCCAAAATTTAGTTTTTGACATATTCCAAGCTTGAAACATGCCCAAATATGCCTTGTGGGCTGGTTCTACATGGACGCTGGACTAAAAAGATTTAACAATCACAAAATTATCAAATATTTCGTGACGTTAAAAATATGTATCATGACTTGTTTAGTCGCTTTTTGATTTTTCAACTTTTGTGGTGCTCTCTATATAAGTCTCAATTTACATACATACATATATATATATATATATATATATATATATATATATATATTTTGAAGTAAAGTTTAGACAATTCTGCGATATTTGAAGAAATATCTATCAATCAAGGGAAAATTAACTCAAAAATTACCTTCATATATAAGAGTGCAAAATGATTTATTCTGAGGCATCCATGTTTTATCTCAATAAAACTAAAGCGATAGTCTTTTGAGTGATATTCCATGTTAACTCTAAATGTTTCATTGACTTAATCAGTAAAAATATAGATAATCAATAAATTCTATCTCTTATACAATTAGTGAATTCGTCGTCATGTATAAGACATATCTCATGCAATAATATTATCGTTAAAAGTTCGAAGCTGTCTATCAATAGTGTGAACTTATTTCACTTAGGAACATAAATAGAGACTTTGACACTTATAAGTTTTTAATGTCGCAATTAGTACCCACACATTAAATTGTGCATTATCATTCTGCAAATATTTGATGAAAGAAAAGGGATTATAAAATATAGCTCGAAGAATAAAGTAAAAGAAATTTGATGAAAAAAAAAGTGACATAAACGGGGAGAAGAAACAAAGAGCAAAAGTGACGGTTGATATAAATTTGGTGAAAATTTGAAATTAATTAAATTTTCGTTCTTTAATCTATTAATTTAAAAATTAAAATCAATTATTTTCTCCTATCGTTGATATGTTTATACTTTTTCTGAAACTTTGTCTTTCATAACCAGTCACATACTAAAACTATGTGACAAAAAAAAACATACTAAAATTGAAATGGTGTTGACGTGGATGGTGTGAAGGGTACATTGAAATTGATTTTTAAAATGTCACAAAAATTTGTGTCGTACAGATATGAAAATTTGTGCATTTTTACTTCAAACCTCGTTTCCTCTTTTGAGCCCTGCGAACCATTTTAGAGAAGAGCGAAGCATTTTACTCTATGAACTAAATGCTCACCAAGTGCAGGAGTACTGAAGAAGCATCACTATCCCTCATTTTACTCTGCGAACTAAATGCTCATCAGTTCTTATTCATATTACTTATGCAGCAGTAGCAGCAGGGCGCGTCGGGCTCCGACGTGGCCAAGACCATATGGATCGGCGATCTACACCACTGGATGGACAAGACTTACCTCCACATCTGCCTCTCTCACACCGGCGAGTTCAACTCCCGAATCTCTCTCTCTCTCTCTCTCTCTCTCTCTCTCTCTCTCTCTCTCTCTCTCTCTCTCTCTCTCTCTCTCTCTCTCTCTCTCTCTCTCTCTCTCTCTCTCTCTCTCTCTCTCTCTCTCTCTCTCTCTCGTATGTATAGGTATAGGAACAACATTTTGTGATTGGAGTTTTTTCAGTTCTAAGCAAAGTCTCTGATTGTGGTTGGCTGGCAGCCGCTAAGTCATATGCCAGCAGGAAGTTTCGAGTGTTTGAAATTTGAAAAGACTAAAATCAAAGAGGGAACGGTTACCGCCTGGAAACGTAACAAGGGAAATTCTTTATTCATTTAACGCCTCGGCATGACTCCGTGTGCCATGTCTGCTTGTGTTTTGGAAGTATGCAATGATGTGTAAAAATATGCTCGAGTCTTAATTTACGTGTATGCAGTTGCAATTGACTAATGACGTCTATTTAGATGAAGCATGTTTAGTTTTGAAATTAACAAAGTCATGTTATTATTTGGCCTATTAGATAGAGGCACTTTCCTTTCAATCATAGATAATACGGATAAGTACATTGGAAGTCTTAAAACTTTTTCATGAAAGTACAATTGACTCATAAAACTTTTAAAAAGTGCAATTATATCCTAAAACTTGTTATGAAAGTGCAATCGAATCATAAAACGTTAAAAAAATACAATTGAATCATTTCTTTTACATATCATTCATTGATCTCCATCTATGACGCTCCAAGGAGCTACGCAACGCTTGGGAATTTGCTCTAATTACTGGCACAATCCATATATGCTCATTGAAAATTACGGGTTATTATTGCAAAACCATTGGGTTAACCGGTTTCC